CATTATTTAATGTACTTCTTTGTCTTTTTTGATCTTTGTTGGTTTAAAGTGTTTTATCAGAGACTAGGATTGCAATCCTGCTTTTTTATTTTTTATTTTTATTTTTTGCTTTCCAATTGCCATTCACAATTGCTACAAAGAGAATAAAATACCTAGGAATACAACTTGCAAGGGTTGTGAAGGATCTCTTCAAGGAGAACTACAGACCACTGCTCAAGGAAATAAGACAAGGACACAAACAAATGGGAAAACATTCCATGCTCATGGATAGGAAGAATCAATATCATGAAAATGGCCATACTGCCCAAAGTAATTTATAGATTCAATGCTATCCCCATCAAGCTACCATTGACTTTCTTCATAGAATTAGAAAAAACTACTTTAAATTTCATATGGAACCAAAAAAGAGCCCATATAGCCAGGACAATCCTAAGCAAAAAGATCAAAGCTAGAGGGAACACGCTACCTGACGTCAAACTAGATTACAAGTCTCCAGTAACCAAAACAGCATGGTACTGATACCAAAACGGATATATAGACCAATGGAACAGAACAGAGGCTTCAGAAATAACGCCACACGTCTACAACCATCTGATCTCTGACAAACCTGACAAAAACAAGCAATGGGGAAAGGATTTCCTGTTTAATAAATTGGCTGGCCGTATGCAGAAAACTGAAACTGGACCCCTTCCTTACATCTTATACAAAAATTAGCTCAAGATGGATTAAAGACTTAAATGTAAGACCTAAAGCTGTAAAAACCCAAAAAACAACCTAGGCAATACCATTCAGGACATTGGCATGGTCAAAGACTTCATTACTAAAACACCAAAAGCAATGGCAACAAAAACCAAGATTGACAAATGTGACCCAATTAAACTAAAAAGCTTCTGCACAGCAGAAGAAACTATCATCAGAGTGAACAGGCAACCTACAGAATAGGAGAAAATTTTTGCAATCTGTCTGTCTGACAAAGGGCTAATATCCAGAACCTACGAGGAACTCAAACAAATTTACAAGAAAAAAAAAAAACCATCAAGAAGCAGGTGAATTATATGAACATATACTTCTCAAAAGAAGACATTTATGTGGCCAGAAAACATATGAAAAAAATGCTCATCATCACTAGTCATTAGAGAAATGCAAATCAAAACCACAGTGAGATACCATCTCATGCCAGTTAGAATGGCGATCATTAAAAAGTCAGAAAACAACAGATGCTGGAAAGAAATGTGGAGAAATAGGAAGCTTTTACACTGTGGCTGGGGGTGCAAATTGGTTCAACCATTGTGGAAGACAGTGTGGTGATTTTTCAAGGATCTAGGACCAGACATACCATTTGACCCAGCAATCCCACTACTGGATATATACCCAAAGGATTATAAATCATTCTACTATAAAGACACATGCACATGTATGTTTATTGCAGCACTAGTCACAATAGCAAAGACTTGGAACCAACCCAAGTATCCATCAATGATAGACTGGATAAAGAAAATGTGGCACATATACACTATGGAATACTATACAGCCATAAAAAAAAGATGTGTTCATGTCCTTTGCAGGGACATGGATGAAGCTGGAAACCATCATTCTCAGCAAACTAACACGGGAACAGAAAACCAAACACCGCATGTTCTCACTCCTAAGTGGGAGTTGAACAATGAGAAAACATGGACACAGGGAGGGGAACATCACACACCAGGGCCTGTCAGGGGGTAGGGGGCTAGGGGAGGGATAGCATTAGGAGAAATACCTAATGTAGATGACAGGTTGATGGGTGCAGCAAACCACCATGGCACTTGTATATCTGTGTAAGAAACCTGCACATTCTGCACATGTATCCCAGAACTTTAATTTTAAAAAATCACAGAAGTACTATGGAGTATGCATTTTATTATTATACCAATTCAAACATAGTGGTAATAAATGTTAAAAAGTGGTCACTTAATACCAAATGTTACTGCTATGGCTAAACCATAAACAAACAAATGAAATTCTGAAATTCTGTTGTTAAAAATTACATTTGAGGCCAGGCACGGTGGCTCATGCTTGTAATCCCAGCACTTTGGGAGGCCAAGGTGGGTGGAACACCTGAGGTCAGGAGTTCAAGACCAGCCTGACCAACATGGTGAAACCCTGTCTCTACTAAAAATACAAAAAATTAGCCAGGCATGGTGGCGGGGATCTATAATCCCAGCTACTTGGGAGGCTGAGGCAGGAGAATAGCTTGAACCTAGGAGGCAGAGGCTGCAGTGAGCCAAGATCGCACCATTGCACTCCAGCCTGGGCGACAAGAGCAAAACTCTGTCTCCAAAAAAAAAATAAATAAATAAAAAATTGCAGTTGATACTATGATAATCAACATGGGGATTGAGGAGTAAGTTATTATAATAGTTAGGAATATCCTGCATTCCAGCCGCACCCCCAGATAATTTCAGCCATGTACTTCTGGCCAAGAACCACTTAGATATCTGAGGATGTGAAAACCATTTAGAACCCACATTGTGTTCACAGAATATGTTCCCAACTATGCCATTAGCCAAAGGCATAATTCTTGGTACAGATGGAATAGGAAGCTGGAGGTGTTTCCTACTTATTAAAGTCATTAAAAAAAAAAAAGTTGGAAGGACTTTTTAATTGTCCTGTGGTAACCACTGACCAAAAGAACACATTGGTAAAAGCCCCTGGGTCTGGGCTGTTCTCTTGAACCTCCAAATTGTCCCTGGTTCTGCTTGGGTTCCTGGACTGGGTTGTGGTTTGAAAGTTGTTGCCAGGCTTTGCCTACTAGGTCATTGTCTGGTGGGGCGGGGTTGTGTTGAGAGGACTGAGAAAGTGAGGCCTCTCTGACTAGCAGAAACTGTGGAAGAAAATGGGGACTGCACAGTAGAAAGAAGTTGACACTTTTCCTAGGACTCGAGACAGAATCAAGGGGGAGCCAGGTATTAAGCTAATAATAGCTTAGCCCTCAGCTGATCGATCTTACTGTCTTACATTACTATTGTTTTTAAATCTGTTGCTTCTTGTCAAATATATTTTAAGCTCTTGAGGTCAAGGGACCTTGGCAAATATCATTTATTGTCTTGAATATACTAAGTGCTCAATGACTAGCTTTTGCTGGATTCACAAAAAAAAAGTTTTAAAGGGTCATACTCTTTACATTTTATTTCTTCTCTTATGTGAATTCCATCTGCTATATGAATCTGCCAGAGCGAACACTGGAGGCAGGATTGGGGATTTTGTTGGAATTTAGAATATGTTGAGTCTTATTGTGATTCTCTATCACTGTATTGTCATTTTCCCATGCAAATAGGGGAGGGATCTAAAGGAAACACATGAATCAGTGGTTAAGAAGAATTCTAATGCTGTGACTGAGTCTGTAAAGAAGCTTGGCACAGGCTAGAGGAACAGGGCAAGTCCTGCTATCTCAGAGGAAGTACACTGGCTGCAGGAGCCCTGGCCTTAGAATCAGCAGATGAGGTTTGAACCTCAGCCCTGTTACTTATAGGCTGGGTATCCTTAGGGAAGCCTCAGCTTAGCCCGGGTTTCCACATCTGTGAAATGGGAATTATAGCAGTACCTGTTTGTGGGCTTTTCGGGTGTGTAAATGAGATTCATTAGTTTATTCAATAATGGTTTGTTAAATATAATACCTACAGACACTATTTTAGACGTTGGATATATAGCAGTAAGCAAAACAAAAGCCTCTGCCTCATGGAATTTATATTCTAAAAATATACATAATTAAATTTAATAAAGTGTTTATCAGTCACATTAGTTTGAGCCTCTCTGATGAACTCACGCTGTGGTTTTTGCTGTTATTTGTCTATAGGAGTTACAACAGTAAGTAATTAGGGCTACTCTTGGGTGTCATGTTTGAATTGGTATAACCCCAGGGAAGTCCCAGTAAGTAGGACATTCGTGTGTGCCTGCTAAATTGCAGTATGCTTAGAAAGTCTGTTCCCCTTGAACTGGATTTCTGTCATTTTTGCCCCCATGAAGTGCTTAGTTCAAACAGTCCAGCAGTCTGCTGAGATTCAAGGGTGGCAAGTGGTGGTGTGGCTGAACTGGTTTCTCTCAGTCATTGGTGTTTGCCCTATTTGTGATGTATGATTTCACAGAGTTGTGAAGATGCCTGTGTCATTTGTGGAAATAAGTCCAAGGGCTAACACAACCAATTAAAATCCACAAACCACATTTCAGTGAGTAATTTCAACCTTTCCTCTCCAAACTTTTCATTAGCCACCCGTCAAAGAACAAAAAGAACAAATTGAAGGTTCAGTTCATTTTTTTCGTTGCCTTCCCTCTGGGGCTTTTCCTTTGAGTATCGTAATGCCCAAATTCCACGAAAGGAGAAAGGGCAAGCCCGGGCAGCAAACCTCAGAGGAACTGCATTCTGCTGGTAATTGCATACCTTCTCCCAAGAGGTGTATCTGTATTCACCTCCATTGGCTATCGCCTTCTTCATGCAGTACTTCAGGTCTCCAGTGGCACACAGCCCATCTAGTTGAAAATGCAAAGAGGAAATTATTCTCTCACTGAATGGCCTTTGTGGCCCAGAAGAAAAAAAAAAAAAAAAGGTCATTTCTGCTGAGACATAACCTGAAAAACACTCTCACAAGAGTGGAAGCTGAAGGCTCACTATAAGCTAGCCCTGCCTCAGAACAAGGCTGGTGATAGCGTGTGTGTGTGGGAGCTCATGTGCATGGGCTCAGGGCATTTGTCACCAATGGACATGATTGAAGAAGCTTCTATCACCTGAAAAGCAGTTGTTCTGCTGGGGAAAGCTCGTTTATACTCCGAGGAATTACAGAGCAGACGTTACTTGGATGCGGAGGTTTGGTCTGGAGGACTGTGACATGGCCCTGACAGCACGTCCCTGGGTTTCGGTGCTCCTCTGCTCTGCCCAGCTTTCCGTCATCTGGCCTCCCATGACCTCCTGTGCTCCCATTGTGGTTTCCCTGTGTGCTGACAAGTTTTCTGGTTGTTATGTCTTGCAGCCCCCCGAATCCAAGCCCAACTTCACCCCTCTCGCCATCTTGGCCCATGTTCTCGGCGCCATCCAGCCCTATGCCCACCTCATCCACGTCCAGCGACTCCTCCCCCGTCAGGTCTGTTGCAGGGTTTGTTTGGTTTTCTGTTGCTGCCGTTGTTCTCTCATTGGCTTGGTCCTCTCTTCATGCAGTGTTCAGCCTCCTCGTCAACTTTGTTCCCTGCCATCCAAACCTGCACTTGCTTTTTGACAGGCCAGAAGAAGCGGTACGTGAAGACTCCAGGTAAAATCTCGGATGATGACCAATCTGTTCCCGTTTATCCAAAGCTGGCCAGGGACAACAGGGGGCTGCCTCTGCTCTCCTGTGGTTCCATCCTAAGAGACCAGAGCTAAAAGGGACCATTTGCATGAACCAGCATGGCATTTTTCACACCCTTTTTAACCCTGACTCAAGTTTCTCAACTAATCTCTCTGGTGCCTAGAGTTAGGGGAAGGAGCACCTCCTGAATCAGACTCTGGTTTTGACGGCTCTCTCAATTTCATGTGCTCGCTGTGCTTTGGTGTAAGATAACATAAGCGGGAACAGTGTTGAGACACGTGCCAACCTTTTCTTCTCTCCTTTTTATCAGGTAGCATCAGGCAATATTTATTTGCGGGGTTGGGTCCCTGGCCCTGAGCAGTGACACCGAGTCACTTAGACCAGATCCAATGGGGGAGAGCCAAATAGAACACAGAATAAAAACTTGAGAGACGAAGCGATTTCTCTTAAATTGCTCATGGCTTATGCCTCCTTGTCCCCCATATACTCCCAGAACCATCCATGCTCCCAGCCTGCTTCTGTCGCTGTGTGTCATGAAGCCTGAGCTGTCCTGGGAACAGGCACTACCTCTCTCTGAGGGAGAGCAGCTTGACCTAGTTCCTCTTCTCAGGGCCATGCTGTAGCTTTCCCTGCCTTTGTGACTTCCGCACTTAAGTTATTTGCTCTTGTGCTCTTTGGGAAAAAAAGAGCTCTTTACAACCAGGAAAAGAATGAATAGGGATCCTGCAGAATTCCTATGCTGTGAAACTCCTGAACATGCTTCTCTCTCACGCTTAGTCTCGGCTTTCAGACAACCGGATAGTAGAGCCCAGTTTTAAGCATCAGAAGCGTTTTGGGCTTTGGGAGTATTTTCTCTTCTGTCTTTTTCTCCAAAGGGTGGATCCAGCAGAGAGGCTTAAATAATTGGTCAAGCCGAGTTTCACTTTTAGAAGAAAAGAAAACCCCATGCTATTTATATAGATACAGATACATATATTACTTTATTCCCCACTAGGCACTTACACATCTATCATTTCGTTCTATCCTCATGTGAGAATGAGAAGAGAGATGGCCTGAAACCTATTGTGGAAAAAGAAAACTAAAGCACAGTGAGGTGACTTGGACACAATGACATGACTAAATGAGAGCCAGTCCAGAATTCAGGACTTCTCCCCCTCAGCTCAGCACTCTTTCCTCCAAACACGTGGGTAACCCCAGCTTTGAGTTTCCATGCAGCTCCCAGCCCAGAGCCTGGCTTGCTCTTTTAGGTTTTATACAGCTTTCTACCTGGCTTTGTCCCGGATGATGGGAAGGAACTTTTCAATAAATTCTTTTTTTTCTCACTCTATAAATAAGGGAAATTTTCAGATCATGTCTTCCTGACATTCTAGTGATTTCCTAATCATTCCTTGGACATCTTCTGGGCACTTTGGGAGACATTAACTTTTTAAGATACCAGAAATAGCATGGATTATTCTCATTAGATCATGCGGACCTGAACCAGAGGAAACTAAGTGACCACAGACAAGTCAGCTTCCAAAATGCCTCACTCACTCATTAGAGAAACTTGGGCTTTAGGAGAATGTAGTTCCTTCATTTTTATCAAAATGGAGTAAAAATCTTCAAAATATTGGCCCTTTGGACAAAATGGGTTAAGAGACTCAAGAGTGGCATCACTCAGCTAAAATCCTAAAATGTCTTCTCTGCCTTGATGCTACTCACGTTTTTGTGACTCTGAGCTTTGGGGCCCTGTTTCTTGTCAAGCATCTTTACCTCTTCACTCATTTTCGTCTCCCCAAATATTTCCAGACTCTTTTTCCTTCCTACCTCTTCCTACCTCCCAGAGTATTTCCAGATTGACAGAGGGCAGTGGCAATAGAATCTGCCCATCTTGTGTGTCTGGGGTCACGATCAGTCAGTACCTCCTCCCCTGGCCATTGTTAGAATAGCACCATTTGGACACCCGTTAGGAAGCTGCCCTCTTGAAATAGTCAAGGCAGACAGGGCGCAATGGCTCACACCTGTAATCCCAGCACTTCAGGAGGCTGAGACGGGGAGATCACCCGAGGTTAGGAGTTCAAGACCAGCCTGGACAACATGGAGAAACCCCATCTCTACTAATTAGTAAAGTACAAAAATTAGCCAGGCATGGTGGCAGGTGCCTGTAATCCCAGCTACTCAGGAGGATTGCTGGAACCTGGGAGGCACAGGTTGCAGTGAGCCAAGATCGTGCCATTGCATTCCAGCCTGGGTGACAGAGCTAGACTCCATCTCAAAAAAAAAAAAAAAAAAAAAAGTCAAGGCAGAGTTGGGCTAAGTATGTGTGCCCAGGGGAGCACAGATAGCAACATTGCTGGGGAGTTAGCTCATCAGAGGAACAGAGAGGGCCAAAATCTGTACACTGCAGTGTATAGCAGAGAGGTGGTGGTATACACCCATTATTCAGGTCCATTGAGGCCTCTGCCAAATCCACTTCCAGAGCATGAAGCTTCAGATTTCCTTCCCTGAGCAAAGCCTTTAAAAGTAAATATTGAATTAGACCTAATCAGTGGTCCCATGAACTTCTGAATGATATCTCCTCTGGAAATTGCTTCCTGTTGTCTGTATTAGTCGGTTTTCATGCTGCTGATGAAAACATACCCAAGACTGGGAAGAAAAAGATGTTTAACAGACTTACAGTTCCACGTGGCTGGGGAGGCCTCACAATCATGGCAGAAGGCAGGGAGGAGGAAGTCCTGTCTTTCATGGATGGCAGCAGGCAAAAAGAGAGTTTGTGTAGGGAAGCTCCCATTTTTGAAACCATCAGATCTCATGAGACCCAATCACTATTACGAGAACAGTACAGGGAAGACCATCCCCCACGATTCAGTCATCTCCACTGAGTCTCTCCCACAACACGGGAATTATGGGAGCTACAAGATGAGATTCAGGTGGGAATGCAGAGCCAAACCATATCACTGTCCCCTCTTCAAATCATTTATAGACTTTGTTTGTTCAAAGTCAGGAATGAAGATGCCTTTTGCAGCACAGTAGAGAAAGGGTGCTGGAGATGCATTCCCTCCATATTTCCCTTTTCTTTCACTTGCTAACCCCTCCCCCATAAAAGCCCACAGCCCCAAACCCATAACTTGCATTTGCACAGGAGTCCCTGGAAATTATGCCTAAATGATCAACCCTTTGCCACCTGCCGGTCTAGCTGGTCCCACCTCCCTGTAATGCCATATGATGGAGAATGGGTCATCATTTTGCAAGGTTTGCAAGGGCATTTGAGGGAAACTCCTGTGTGCGCTTTCCAGGCCTTGTGCCATACTCAGAGGCGAAAATTAAAAGGGAACTAGCAGGAGGATCCAAACTTGTTCATGCTTTTAAAGGCCCAGCTGAAGTCTGAAGGGCAGTGTGACAGGAGCAGCCAAAAACTGCTCCAGGCTCTCTGTAGCCAGTTTTGAGATGCACTGTGGAGAACAGGAAGCCAAAGAACCAATGATGCCTGGTGGAGATTTTTTATTTTTTTTCAATCAGAGCCAAAGCCTACAAACACAATCTTTCTGCCAACAGGATTTGTCTGTTTTGGTAGGAACCCTACCTAAAGCAAACTGCTTAAGGCCTTTGAGAAGGAGTTACGGGACACTTGAGTTGTTGAGCTGACAAGCTTTTAAGAAGATAAGACTTTTTGGGTAGGGTTGCCAGATTTAGCAAATAAAATAAAAATGCAGCATACCCAGTTAAATTTGGATGGTAGATAAACAACAAAAATTTTTTCATATACATATGTCCCATGCAATATTTGGGGCATAATGTATACTAAAGAAATATTTATTGTTTAATCTGCCATCCAAATTTAACTAGGTGTCCTGTATTTTATCTGGCAACCCTACCCATTCCTACTCCTTGGGCAATACAAATGGCCCCCTTTAAAAGCACCTCTTCTATCATTTCTCCCATTTTTGTGCCTATCCTATGGCAGTAGAGGGAGATCTCAAGGGAAAATTCCTCCCATAGACTATTGGCTACTTATCAACTTGAGGAAAAAACAAGGCCCTTTCTTGGCTTGCTTATTTATTTATTTACTTACATTTTTTTTTGAGACAGGGTCTCACTTGACTAGAGTGCAGTGGTGCAATCTCTGCTCATTGCGGCCTCAACCTCCTGGGCTCAACCAGTCCTCCTGCCTCAGCCTCCCAAGTAACCTGGACTCCACACATGTCCCATCATGCCTGGCTAATTTTTAAAATTTTTTTGTAGAGATGGAAGTGTCTACAGTCTGGTCTTAAATTCCTGGGCTCAAGCAATCCTCCCACTTCCCAAAGTGCTAGGATTACAGGCATGTGCCACAGCACCTAGTCTGTTATTTTTTAATGTATTATGTTATTGCCACTTCATTATTCAATTTCACAAACCTAATATCAATGGAATGTTACTCCTTTTAAATGATAATCTTGGACACCTGGACCATTCCCTTTTATTTCTGTCTGCCAAATACCCCTGCTGGTTTCCCGGCTTGCCCCTGTTTTGTCCCATTATCCTTATTTAGTGAGGTTAATAAGTAATGTTCGCAAAAATCCAGTCAGAAGAGCTTTTCCTCAGATGCTGTTTCCCTTACTTTTAGTCTCCCTTCCCTGGTCTCTTTGCTTTTTACCCACCTGCTCTGCCCTGCCCAGGACCTGCTCTGCCCTGTCATCAAGAGGCAGAAATATTGCCTCAAAACCTGGTCTCTGAGACCCCGGCTAGTGTGAACTAGATTCTCCTTTCACCTTCAATGTCATAACAGGCTCCATTTGCCTGTCAGTATAGTCTTTTATCTGTTTTAGCACTTTTCACAGCCAAGTCACTCCTCCTCTCTGCTTCCCAGCTTCTCAAAAAAAAAAAAAAAAAAAAAAAGCCTCCTATGTTCCTCCCTGGAAAGTTGCACATAGGATATTTGGTCCTTGCTGGCCAACACAGACTTGGTTTCTTTGGCTCACAGACTGTGCCCCTTGTCCTGAACTTTATTCTTTCATCATAATTAGCCAGGAAGAGCTGTTTTCCTGTTGAAGCTGATGAATACTAAGGACTCTTCTTTCCTTCATTCCCAGGGGTCCCACTTCATTTTCTCCTGCTTTCCCAATATTTTCCCACCTGGCCATCATCTCTTGGTTTCTAGAAAACCAGAGGGAACAACAGTAAACTATGGCCCAGCAATAAATTCGAGATAACCATTTACTTGGATCAGCCTGCACAATGGAGACCATGTGGCTCACAAAGTTTAAAATATTTACCACCTGGCCCTTTGCGGAAAAAGGTTGCCACCCTCTGCTCTAGAACAGTGGCTCTCAACCCTCATTTCATATTGGAATTACTTGGAGAGCTTTTTTAAAATACTGATGCTCAGCCGGGTGCGGTGGCTCACGCCTGTAATCCCAGCACTTTGGGAGGCAGAGGCAGGTGGATCACGAGGTCAGGAGATTGAGACCATCCTGGCTAACACGGTGAAACCCTGTGTCTACTGAAAATACAAAAAATTACCTGGGCGTGGTGGTGGGCGCCTATAGTCCCAGCTACTCGGGAGGCTGAGGCAAGAGAATGGCGTGAACCCAGGAGGCGGAGCTTGCAGTGAACCAAGATGGTGTCACTGCACTCCAGCCTGGGTGACAGAGCAAGACTCAGTCCCAAAAAAAAAAAAAAAAAAAAAACGATGCCTATATAATATCTGCACATCTGGGTAGAACCCAGGCATCTGCATTTTCTAAATGTTCCCCAGGTGATTCGGATGCACAGTGAGAGTGATTGTAAACACTCATTGGACATGAGAAAAGCAAAAACAAAACAAACAAAATGCCTCATGTCCCCTCTCCCTTCTTCCTCCTCCCCACACTCCCCATACAGGTGCGCATGTGGGCTCGTGCACACCCATGTGTAATTGCCCTCATGCACCTTGTCTATTCCCTCCCCTGGGGGTTGGAGAGCTCCAGCTCTGGAATCCTGCCTCACCAGCAAGACCCAGCCTGGTAAGAAATCAGGAACATCTGGGAGAGCTCATGTCCGCCCGTGGCCTGGAACTGAAACTTGGCTTTGCTGGAATTTCTCCTTTTTGACTCACTGAGCATTGCCAGCTTTCAACAGGGTCTGTTGGGAGCGTGTTCCCCAGAGCAGCTTGGAACTTCTTTCCTGCCCCTGCTTCCCTCCCCTCCTACAAGGCACTCCCACTCCAAAAATGGGGCCCAGCCTGCCCTCCCGCTGTTTGGCTGTTGTAACTCCCAGGTAGAGTTTTAACATGGCACAAGGTGACCCCACAAGAAGTGTAGTTTCTTGAAGCTTATGGCTTTTCTCTGAATATTTCTCATTTTTCTCCTGTGACCTTTGCAGCTTTCCCACCTCATGTCTTGCCATCTGGCTGCCTTGCCAGGCACTTCCCACGAGAGGGGACTAGGTAGTTTACAGGGAAAGGGAAGAAGGGAGATTAAATATCTGGGGCTTTCTAAGGGTTTTTTCAAAAATGTTAAATAAACTCCTGTTTTCACACAGCACACCGTTCCGGAAGGCGAAAGCCTTGTATGCCTGCAAAGCTGAACATGACTCAGAACTTTCGTTCACAGCAGGCACGGTCTTCGATAATGGTGAGTTTCTCATCCCCTCACAAAGATATGGGCGGGGGGCGGGGGCAAGGGGAGCACATAAATAACTGGCATTTTCAAAGCTCCTCCCTAGGGAAAATCTCAATACAATGGGTAAGAAAAAAAAGCGTGTGTGTGTGTGTGTGTGTGTGTGTGTGTGTGTGTGTGTGTGTGTGTGTGTGTGTGTGTTGGTTTCTGTGTCTTTTCCCAAAATAAAAGAGCAGCAGCCGGACTTCCGGAGACATCGTGAAGAGTGAACTAGTGTAATCAGCTCCACGTTGAGTTGTTACCACCTTGAATGAGATTGTGCCTGCAAAAGACCCAGCCCAGGACCTGAAAGTGGCTTTAAGAGATCATACGCATCACATGTTTAAAATGGTACTCAACACATATTAAGCATTCAATAAGTTAATATTTTTATTATTAAAACCATCATCATCATTGTATCCATCTTCAAAAAAGGCCATGATGCTCTCATAGTTCACAGTGACAATTTTTCCTCACTTTTGTCTGAGCAGTGGGTGCTGCACCTGACTCTGGGGTCCTGGCTATATCTGTAAACACATTCCAGGCCAGAGCAGAGATGGGTTCCTGGGGACCAGCCCTTGACTGTACTCACGTCCACAGGGGCTGCCTTTGTGTGTGCCCAGCCCCTGCATTCAGCATAGCAGAGATACCCATCAGGTACAGGTAGACAAAAGGGGGAACAAGGCACAGAGCATGGGGGTTTCCCAGGTCACACTCAACCCTTGGCCTTCTGGGTCAGCAGAAGGAGGAGGGATTACCCCAGAACTGCATGTGGGTGTCTGGGTCTGCATTCCCTTTTATCGCTCTCAAAGCCTCAAGCACTGTCCTTAAACCTTTGCTCCATTAACTTTCATCTGGGCCCTTTATAAATCAAAGTGCACAAACAGCCAGCCCAGCCACCTCTCCTGTTCATAGCTGGTGCTTACAGGCCCCAGCAGACTGCAGGTGCAGTGCAGATGCAACAGGGCTGCTGAAGGCTGTCCAAAGCCATTTTACTGGTGAGTGTCCCCCACACAGGCCCAGGCGGCGGAGTCCTCGCCCTGCCGTAACACAACACGGCTCTTACAGAAGACAAACCAGAATGGGCTGCATTGCTTGGGCTTCTGCTCCCTGCTTTGTCAGCAGGGAAGGAGCTTCTGCCTGTAGAAGAGCAGGATTTGAGAGATTCCTACACTGACAGGTGAATCCAGGGCTTAAAGGTCTGTCCTCTAAGTCCCAATTCACTGCTCACATGGGCAAGGGATCATCATGTTCCTATCAGCCATTCCCTCTGACAACACAAAGGACTCCTGATCTCAGGGGCAGAATTGTTTTAAACTAGCAAAAGTTATGTATATGCTTCTATCTTCTTTGTGATTCCTTTTGGTGAGTGCAGCCTTCTTCCATTTTTTAACGGTTTATTAAGATAGCCGTACCACCTACAATTTACCCATTTAAAATGTACAATTCAATGGTTTTTAGTATATTCAGAGTTGTGCAACCATCACCACTATATAATTCCAGAATATTTTCATCACCCCCAGAAGAAACCCCATACCTTTTAGCAGTCATGCCCCGCTTACCACAACCCATTTCCATCCAGCCCAAGGCAACCACTCTTCTACTTTGTCTCTCTATATTTGCCTGCTCTGGACATTTCATACAAATGGAATTATACAGTATGTGATCTTTGAAACTGGATTCTTCAGTTTGCATAATGTTCAAGTTCATCCACATTGTAGCATGTCAGAACCGTATTCCTTTTAATGTGTGATGGTATGGACATAGCACAGTTCATGTAAGCTCATTCCTCAGTAGATGTGCACGTTGTTTCCACTTTTTGGCTGTTTGAACAATGCTGCTGTGAACATGAGTGTAGGTTTTTGTGAGGGCACAGGTTTCCAGTTCTCTTGGGGATACACCTATGAGTGGGATTTCAGGGCCGTATGAATTCTGTGTTTAAGTGTCTGAGGAAACGCCAAACTGTTTCACGAAGAAGTTGCACCATTTTACCATTTTATGTTCCTACCTTCTTTCATTTTTAAGTCTTTCTGCAGTAGCTTAAACAGTTAAGCATAAAGGGGGAAAAAAAAGAAGAGAAGAGAAGCCTGGGTGATTGTTAACTCCCAAGTCCTTTTTTCCCCCAGCAGAGTGTCCTTCAGCATCCACAGCCATCTTCACTGCCACACCGAAGCCCCGGGCGCCTCCACCTCTCACCTGGGTGCTTCCACTGGCCGCCCGACACATCTTCTCACTTCTGCTCTTGCTGCCATGACCCCCTCTTTACAGAGCAACGAGAGTGATCTTTGAAAAATGGAAATGACATTAAAGCCCTTCAGTGGCCTCCCATTGCTCTGAGAATTACTTACAAGGCCCTCCAGGGCCCAGTCCCTGCCCCTCTGACCTCTCGCCCTCACTTGGCATACTACAGCGTCATAGACCTTCTTCATGTTGTCAAGTAAGGTCAGCAAACTATGACCTGCCGGTCAAATCCAACCCGCCACCTGCCACCTAACAATTCTGTAAGTGCTCCCGCCTACAGCGTGGTAATCATCAGAAATCCTATAGGTATTGACAGATGAGAGCAGGAGGGAAGTTTGGTTGAATGAGTAAGAGGCCTTACCCAAGCCTTCCTGTGGGCTCTAGGAGTCATGGCAGAGTTTGCTGACACTGGTTTGTTTTTAACCAGCCTTGCCAGTGACCTTTCAAATTCCCTGAGGAGCAAAAGGCCAAATTAAACGTGAAAGAAAACACCTCTCAGTGTTGACTGAGTTGCAGTAGAAAATGGACCTGACGAAATGTTAGTACACTTTCTCAGTTGGGTTAACTGAAAATATGTTATTAGGTCTTCTTTCCAGAGGAAAATGCTTACGTAGACCCTCTTCCTCCCCACCCCGTCACCTCTACCGGAGAAAATGAGGCATTACGGAACACTGTTATTCTGCCTGGCGGGGGGCGGTGGGGGCGTCTTTTTCCTTGTTCCGTTTCTTGTTAGTTTACCACTGGGGATATTAGGTAAAGGCTATTTAATTTGTATGCTGTGTAGCTGTCAGATTAAATCATCCAACCAATCAGAAGAAGGTGCACGTGTGTGTGTGTGTGTGTGTGTGTGTGTGTCTTTGTGTGTGTGTCAGGATTAAGAAGAATGAATAAGGAAGAGGAAAAGGGAGGGGCCCGTGGAGGGAAAGTCTGTTGTTTCGTAATGATTAATCTCAAAGCCTTTGGATTCCAGGGGCCCCTACTGTGACTCCGGAGTGGCTGCTGTTGTCAGCTCATGGACTTTGTGCAGTGGGAAATGGATGTGCAATACCTAGAAATAATTCCAGTGTCAGCTCTGGCCAATCTACTGGGAAACTGTCCATTTTAACAAGAGCACCTCAGACAGTAACTGGAAAGAGAAATAGCTCCTATTCTCAGGAACGTTAGTCATCTTGAAGCAACATGATTCGTGATACCTGGAAAATGCACATGGCAGTCACTAAAATTGGGTTCTAGGGATACTTTTAACAAGATCTGAGAGGAGATGGATCCATTCATTCCCATGGTACCTGACACAGCACTACTACACAGCAGGCCTGTCCCAAGTTTCCTTTGCTGATGGAGAACATCCTCACGGGGGAGCCCCCAAGCTGCCTAGGAAATGGGCTAACAGGAGAGCACTCAGGGATCTCCTTCAGCTTCTCCAGCCATCTTCACTGCCACGCCCAAGCCCAGGCCACCTCCACCTCTCACCTGGGCGCTTCCACTGGCCACCTGACACATCTTGTTGCTGGCTTCCACTCTTGCTCCCATAACCCCTTCTTCACATAGCAGCAAGAGTCATCTTTGAAAATGAAAATCACATCATGTTATTTCCTGCTTAAAATCTATCAGTGGCCTCCCACTGCTCTGAGAATGACTTACAAGGCCCCCCAGGGCCCAGTTCCTACCCCTCTGACCTCCTCTCACCCTCACTTGACATCCTGCAGCTTCGCAGGCCTTCTTTATGTTCTCAAGTAAGAGCAGCAAACTATGACCTGCCAGTCAAATCCAACCCGCCACCTGTTTTTGTAAATAAAGCTTGACTGGAACGTAGACACTCATGCCTTTGTGTCTGCGTGTTATCTGTGGCACTAATGGCAGAGTTAAGGAGAGAGACACACTGACCGTGAGGCTCTTTAGGAAACACAGGCCCACCAGTGTTCTAAAATCCCTCCCAGCCTTTTCCCATTGCAGGGCCGCTGCACTTGCACTACCCACTGCTCTAGTCTTTCTCCTTTCACCACTCCCTAAAATTATGTGCTTGCTTATTGCTTGATTGTCCCGCCGAGCAAAATCTTGTCTGCTTGTTCTGTGCTATGTGCAAGGACCTAGCATGGTGTCTAGCATGTGGTAGGTGTTCAGTAAACATTTTTAAATGAGTGAATGTACTTTAATTACCCAGGGGTCTGCACCTCTTTTAGTTAAGACTTCTTTTGGGGACAGTCAGCCATTAGAGACCTTAGTCACACACTTGCTCCCTGTCCATGGTGAGCGAAGGAGGGCAGAAGGCATGAGTTGTATGCGCAGGGGTGTATGGTATACACAGGGGTAGAGCTGAGAGAAAGTGGTTGGCAGGAAGCACACCTGTGTCCCCAGAAGCTTGTATTTGTTACATGCTTGCTGGGCTGAAGAGCCCCTCAGGCAGCTTGCGGCAACACCTTTTGTGTTTGTATAGCATCTTGGACACTGGTGCACTTCGGTGTTGCACATTGGCGCCATTCAGCCCAACAAGCGCTTAGCATCTTTGATGTTCAGAGCACTGGGCTAGGCAACAGCAGTAGTAGTTAAGATGACAGACTCTGGGATCAGATGTCCTGGGCTCTGATTCATTTTCATCATCTACCAGCTATTAATATTTAGTTTTGGCCAAGATGCTTAACTTTTCTCAGCCACAGTTTTTCATCAGTAAAGTGAGGATAATAGCAGAACCAATTCCATAGTCATTCTGAAGATGAAAGGAGGAAATGCAGGTGTGAAGCGCGTATTCGCAAAAGGTCTGCCACCTGGCATGTGCTCAACATGTTATCTTCCTTATCAGCATGGCTCACACTCTCTGGTTAAACAGAGGCCTGATATAGTGGGAAGGGGGTTGGTCTCTGGAATCAAACAAGCTGAGTTTAAATTTTGGTTCTAGTATTGTGACTATGCACAAATTATTTTACCTCTCTGAGCCTTAATTTTCTCATCTGCAAAATATGGATAATAATAATATAAGTTAGGATCCTGAGAATCAAATGAATCAATATGTCTAAAACTCCAAGCACACGGCAGCTTCATAACGTATCTAAGTGTTAGCTTGTATCATTATAATTCACGAGGCAGAAGGGAATTACTGAAGGTTGTTGAGCCAGGAAGTGCTATAATCCAAACCAAAACGCACTGAAAAACTAGATAGAGAAGCAAAGCTTAGCACATTTGAACAGCATATTAATAGGATGCATGCATACTATGTGGGATGTACTATGAGCATTTTAGGAGTCTAGAAGAGGAGGGTGCGGGTAGAAGGGATTCCATGGTAATATTTACAAAGGAAGTGGGGCTTCAGGTAAGCCTTAACGTGGAAACAGAAGACAGCAGAAAGAAAGGGGGCACTGGTGCTGCCTCCCTCCTCCGTTAGTAAATGACAGTTTGCATTTTAACTCGGAGGCATTTGGGCACAGAAAAGTTATAGCTCCTAACTTCCTGTGAGCTAGTGAAAATACAGGTTCCTGCATCCCCTTCCCAGAGATTCTGCTTTAATTGATTTGCCATGGGTCCCAGGAATGTGCGGTTTGAATAAGCATCCTGAGGGTTCTGAAGCACATGGTCTGACATATGCTTTAGTAAACCCTGGCTTGAAGGCTCAGTGAGTCAGCAGTCCGACCCAAAGGCTGTGTTATCTCCTGCCATCCCCTGTGACTTACCTTTTGGCCTCCAGTTTGGAGGGCCTGTCTTGTCCCTTCTAATTCTTTCCTTCGCCCCCAAATTGCATTGTAAATGTTTTCACCCCAGTACCTGTGCTGTGGTTGAACAGCTGGCCAGGAAAAGGAGAAAGATCTGAAGGAGATGGACTCAGTGCATCTGGTAGAGTAACAACTCAACTTGGAGCTTTGCTGTAAAGCAGGAGGGCCTGGCTTTTGTTTTTGTTTTGTCAGTTTGGTTGCTTTATTCTTTCTAGGTTTTTATTTTGGAGAATGGGGTTGATTTGTTAATTTTATTCTGAACATTTGATTTTTCCTGAAGCTCAGGTGGGTGGTAAGGGCCGTCTGGTTTTACTAGGTCTTTACTAGGAGGGAGTCTTGCTGAGCAGTCCCGATCCAGGATCTCCTACTGACTAGCCGGTACTGAGCATTTGCTCTGTGCCTGGCTCTGTGCCGAGTGCTTTATCCACACCAGCTCCTTACATATTTGCAAGAACCGACTAAAGGGAAGAGGGGCTTGTCACCAGTATGAAGTGCAGAAACTGAAGTGATCTTGGAAGCTTTGGTTGGATGGATGGGCAGAGGGCAGGGGTATTTGGGTGTTCTTTAAGAGTGGCATGGAAGACCTTTGGTAATTGGAGAGGCCAGGTTGCTTTTAATTTGTGTATTCTTCCAAGGCACTTCTCTCCCAGACTCTGTCTTGTGTGGGTTGTCATGAACCCAAAGTATCCTTGCTGTTTATCCCTCAGGCTTAGTGATCTGAAATTGGCCAACTTTGGAGGCCAATGAATAGATGTTTAACCTTGTCTTTTCCTAAGGAGGCACTCAAGGTGTACCCAAAGTTGACTGGCACTGATCTTCTGGAAGATTCTTTTGCTGTCTCCCATTTGCCTCCTTTGGTTTCTGTTCTTGCGTCTTTCCCTACAAACTGAAACTAGAATTCTGTAGCAGTGTCGGAGCGGAAATGCTTTTCTAAAACAAGCTCAGGAAGTCATTTAATTAGCCCAGGAAGGGAATAGGGGAAAATCTATTCTCTCCAAATAATCTTGGAAAATTGGAGCTTTCCTAACACATTAAGAGTAAATGCCTCACTGCAGAGTGATCTGTATATCTTCAGTTGACAAGCATGAACATCCCCCACCTCTTAGTCCCATGATTCCTTCTCTCTTCCTTCCTGCTATTGACTACTTTGCAGACTCAGCTGGATTTTAGATAATCTTTATAATATCACAATGGTTTCCATGGAGATGGATCATGATGTCACAAAAGTAGATACACATTTTTGGATACTGAAAAATCAAAGGGCAATAGAGGGAGGAAGAGAAGAATTTTTAAGCTGGTATATAGAGGAGGGGGAAATCTAGAGAACAGGAAAGAAAACTAAGAAAGAGTGTGAGTGAAACAGAGAAATGGCTATTCAAAGGCTATTCAAAATCACAACCACCAAAAAAAAAAAAAAAAAAAACCCAGAAAATTTGCAAGGAAATTAGAAGCAGGGGGTAAGGATTTGAAGGAAAGTAAGATGATGATGAGAAGCTGGATTGATTGAGACAGGGTCTTGCTCTGTTGCCCAGGCTGGAGTGCAGTGGTGCAATCACGGCTCAGTGCAGCCTCGACCTGCTGAGCCCAAGCAATCCTCCCACTTCGGCACTCCCCCTCCTCCAAGTAGCTGGGACTACAGACACGCTCCATCAAACATGGCTAGTTTTTGTATATTTTGTAGAGGTGAAGTTTTGCCATGTTGCCCAGGCTGTTCTCAAACTCCTGGGCTGAAGCAATCCACCTGCCTCAGCCTCCCAAGGTACTGGGATTACTAGATGCTGGATATCTTTAGAGACTAGTTCTTAGTCTTCTGTGGGTACTGCACTGAGTACATAGTTGATACTGGGCAGGCGGGTGGGTGAGTACGTGGGAGGAAGGAAGGAAGGAAGGGAAGAAAAGGAAGGAAGAAAGGAAGGATACATACATGTATGGATGGACCAGGTCAATTGTTGCCCTCTAACCTACATAGTAGGAATCTGTCACTTCTTTGTAGTTTAAACCAGGAGCTTCAGAAAATCTATGAAATCCCTAAAATTGTATGCAAAATTTTGAATGTCTGTGACTGTTTCCTTTTTCATTGTGAAGAAAGTTTTCAGGACAGCTTTCATCAAAAGGCTTATATCCCACAAAAGGTTCAGAACTCTAAACTTCTAGAATGATGTAACTTAATAAGTGATTGTACTCATTGTTCAAGCTTCCTTCACACACACACACACACACACACACACCCCACACACGCATCTGCCGCCTGCTCTATCTGTAACACCATCTATTCTCGCTTTCTCTCCCCTTCCTGTACAGTTCACCCATCTCAGGAGCCTGGCTGGTTGGAGGGGACTCTGAACGGAAAGACTGGCCTCATCCCTGAGAATTACGTGGAGTTCCTCTAACCGTGGGCCCCAGCAGAACTGCTGAGCTTTACATGGTATCCATGACAACTGCTGATTCCAGTGTCGTAGGCCATTTCTCTTTGCCACTGAGAAATGCAGCGTGACTGACTCTGTTGCTACCTGTCAACATGAATGTTTCTGTGAGCTCTGGTGTCACTCATCTCCATGATCATCTCAGCCAACACTCGTCAATACTGCAAGAAAAGAAGTCAATCAGCAGAGGAGACCATTTGCTTTGGATAACTAAGAGGAAGACTTGCAAAGCCGTTTTCTCATGAGTACCCTAAATAGGGGGCACTCATTTTGTTTCAACAGTCCGAACGCCCAACCTTCAGAAAGAGGAAGTCAGATAGAAGTAGTCCCCGAGAGCACACTGCGTAGCTAAGTCTGCTGGGGCTGGGTGAAGAAATTGGCGCTGAGATCCAGGCTGGATCCATTGCTTTTGTTTACAGTAGGCACTCTCTCTACCCCACCTCTCAGTACTTGAGACTTAAAGTGCTACAGGCAGCTGAGTCTGTTTGCATGCAGGATGAAGAGGGTTAAAGCGCTGTTTATATAAGATCCAATCTCTCACCATCTCTAAAGCAGCCGTTGGCCCATCATCAGTGAGATATAGTCCAGTCTTCTCATGCACGGGAACACACACACCCTGCGTTTCTCCCTCCCCGGCTAGGAACCTCTCTGCCACCAAGGGCTGCCATCCATCGCCTAGTAACCACGGCAACCCAACCTACTCTAAAACCAAACCAAAAAAAATAAAATAAAATAACACATCCTCTTTGCATGACACATTTTTTCTCTCCCCTTTTTGGTATACTTTTATTGAATGGTTTTCTAACAACTTGAAGCACATGATCAAGGAATTAGGGTGGTCTACGTGAGGCAGACGGGATAGTAGCTGAGAACTGTTCCCCTTCTGATGAATTTCAGCAGCATCGGGATATATTTGGAGCACACCTTAGTAATCTCTTGAGATTAAATTACATAGTCTTAATATTTCCGTTCCTCCATGCAACTGATGTTTGTTTTTTAAAGGGTAAGATGCTGCCTCCCAATGGGTGACACCATCTGACTGGTTTCCCCATGTCTTCCTGTTCACCCATCCCTGCTCCCACCCTTGCCTGCCTCTAACCCACCACTGGCCAGCCCCCTTGCCCTGCTCTGGGCTGCTGAACACTGGTGCTGTGGTGGTTTTCAAGGTTAATTCCTAGGCTTACCGTATGGCCTATTTTAAAAGGACATCTATATTCACTGCCACTCCGAAAAAGGGAATTATTTCTCAGTCTTTTGAGGCATGAGACTAATATAGGCCATTGTGATTCAGAAAGAAACCCAAGGTTGGAGGGTGGGATGGGTACCCTCTGAAAAAGGGAATTTGCTGGTGAAAAGAGGCTGGATCTTGTGGAAGACTGCCTTGGATGGGGAAGTTCTGCCTGGACATTTCAAATTCACTTGGCCTTCAAACAACAGAGTCATCCATATCTTCCACATGTGAATGTCATTGCAAGGGTGACTCTAGACAAACTACAAACCGATGGACGGTCAGGCTCCCCAGGAGCCCCTTGGATGGCAGCGTTGCTTCAGAGTGTTTCCTGTTTCTGGAATTCCTTGTTAGGGAACTTCAAAGAAGAAAAGAAAAACTTGAATTGTGTGGAATTACTGTATCTTTTACTTTTTTTTTGAAAAGATAAACTTGTAAATAGAATGATTTGAAATACTATATGGCAAAGTTTTATATTTGATATTCTTTAAGCTAGTTGCTCACACGCTTAGTCTTCAGTTGCTGAAGAAGTATGTTTAGGAGGGAGAGAGGGGCGGCAAAGCTGAAGAGAGTCAAGGTCACTGTCCCCGCTTCGGCCTGAAGGAAAGAGAAGACATTCCTATGGCCTTGCTCTCTGCTGTCCCGTTAGTGGGCATGATACATCAGTGGTGTTCAGTCTTTATGTGTTTCTGAGCATCCCTTGGGCTTTGGATTTGGAGATGGGAAGAGCATCTCCAGGCAATGAGTTTTTCAAAGAATGCCTACTTAGTAGTAAGATGAAGCTCAGGATTTAAATAAGTGGGGTCAGGCATTTGATTTTTTGTCTTTCTTCTCAGGTGTATTTCTTGGTACCCCCAAGATATCAGGACAGAAAGAGATGAGTCAATTGCTGTGTTCTTTACTTCTTTTTCTCCACATCTTCTGAGACTTCAGAAATGTGGACAAGCTAGTTTTCAAATTTTGTGTGCGTCTGTAAGTTCTTAAAAAACCAGCTTCTTAGAATGTTCAGTTTTCAATGTGCTGCTGCTTTCCTTTTTCCTAAACATTTTAAAACTCTTCCCTTTCACCTCCAATTCCCTATGATCCCAAAGGAAGAGGAAGACTCCAGGAGGGATGTAGATTGTGCCATCATAGCTTTACAGGTGGTTTTAAAGTTAACAGGGGTTTGTCATGGCAATTCACTACTCAATTTATCAACTCAAGGATTATATGACTCTTTTCCAGGAACTCACCCAAGAGCAAGCTAGACACTACCATCGAATCAGGGAATAAGAATTAAGAATGGACAGGACCAAGATAGAACTCGAGAAAGCCATTGGAGAAAACTCGAGAAGAAAGGGAGTATACTAATAGGTTACATCTGTGGACTTGAGGACAAGAAGACCTTGGGAAATGGGGGCCTCAGGGGATGTGCATTCACCTACTATTGTGTTTCCCAAAGAGAGACCAACATCATGCTTTTAACACATACAATGGGGTTTTTTATTGGTGTTTTTGTTTGTTTGATTTTTGAGACAGAGTCTCGCTCTGTGGCCCAGACTGGAGTGCAGTGGCGCAATCTTGGCTCACTGCAACCTCCACCTCCCAGGTTCAAGTGATTCTCCTGCCTCAGCCTCCCAAGAAGCTGGGACTACAGGCATGAGCCATCACACCCAGCTAGTGTTTTGTATTTTTAGTAGAGACGGGGTTTTGCCATGTTGGCCAGGCTGATCTCGAAGTCCTGACCTCAAGTGGTCTGCCCACCTCTGTTCCCCAAAGTGCTGGGATTCCAGGTGTGAGCCACCATGGCCGACCACATTTGATGTTTGAAGTTGTAATCTGTCCCATCATAAACTTACCTGGAGCTCATGTGGAGGAACAGAAGGCCAAGGTCCTTGCTTTGGGAGTGCCTCACAAAGCATCCCTGTAGACACATGGCCCCAGCTTCACTGCTTGGAAGCATGTCCCTCCCTCCTGAGTTGGCTCTGATTTGAAACCAGGAGAAACAGAGCTGCTGCCAATGGGATCTTTTAGGTCACCCCCTCTGCAGCTTCCATGTGTCTGTGCAGTGCCCATGACTTGCTGCCAATGGGATCTCTTAGGTACCCCCTCCCCAGCTTCCCTGTGGCTGTGTAGTGTCCATGACAGATGGCTGCCAATGGGATCTTTTAGGTAACCCCTCCCCAGCTTCCCTGTGTCTGTGTGGTGCCCTTGACAGATGGCTGCTGTGTTTCCCTTTGCGCAGCCAGGCTCCCCTCCTTCCTATTAGCTACAAAACTGGATAAACTTCAGAATATGAGCCAACGAGTAGGAAGGAACTTGAAGACTAAAAGATTTTACTCTCTCCCCTATCCATGCCCCCTACCTCTGACTCTGTGTGAACAGGAAACTTTAGGCCAGATGAGGAGAATGAATTGGTTGGCAGATGAAGAGAATGAATTGGTTATCAGAGTGGAAGACCATGGCCCAGGGTCCCTGAGCTTCCCCAGTAGCCTCCAGTTTGCTTTGTAAGACCCAGGAATCACTTAGCCATAGCCTGAATCTTTTAGGGGTATTAAGGGCAGCCTCTCACTCTCCCTTCAGGTTACTAACAAAATGTCATAGTTAAAGAATGCCGTGCCAGGAGAAGATAGCTGGTTTCAAATCCCTGCCCCCAGGCAAGTAAAACCCTGACTTGCTCAAGACAGAAGATCTTCTCTCCTGTTTTTCAAAATAATCGTATATAGTGATGGACCCTGTGCAGTGTGGCCTGCCTTGGTGTCCTAGAATTGGAGCCAGTCTTTCGCTTAATGTCCAAAGTATTTCTACGGCCAATATGTGTTTTCTTATGTCAGACCAAACTGTCTTTTTGAACATCAGTTCATTTCCTTTCACCAAGTGCTTTTCGGACAGAGAGGCAAAGAGAATGAACAATCAAGTATTGACAGACTGGCATTAGCAGGACAGAGCCATACTAGTGACAAGGGCATTCCAAGGCACTTGCCCAGAGCTACAGAGTTGGGTGTGCCATACCTGCGGCTCAAAGGGAGGGCCTTCTATCCCCTGAGTTTCTATTGCCTGAGAATGGCAACTGCTGTCTCACTAAAAGCTCTGTCTTGACTACAGAGGCTCCAAAAGCATTCACAGATGAGGGGGAGGAAGACAGAAAGAAGAAGCCAAAGATAACCTGATCCCTGCCTGTCTGTTGGCACCTGTCATCCTCTGGCTTCTGCTCCCAAAAGCAAGTCTGGACGACTGAGTTTTGTGGACATGGCGCTCCCAGAATTTGCCCAAGTACTGAATGTTTTGTGAGCAACCATATTCCCCAAGTAGGTAGCCAGCACTGCAGAAACCAAACAGCCTGTTAGCTACCTGACTTTAAGAGGAATGACCTAGGTTTTCTGCCAAGGGAGTTATCTGTCATCTCTGGCAAACTTGACAATCATCACTTACCTCGACAACCCTGCCCCACATCCCTTTATAAAGTCAGCAGGATGTCCTCTCACCCACCCTGTGCTGGTGTCTAAAAAATTTATCTTGTCATGCTCAAATGTGTTTGGCAGCCACACTGATCGGCTGGGTGCTGAACCACCGCTCTGTAATTGTAGCATCAAAATGACAACAGCAGCAGAGCGGCAAATCTTGCCCAGCCCCACAGCATGCCTGAGACAAGACTCCAACAAGTAATAATTAACTTTTTTCTCCTGCCGCCTACAGTACCTGTCTAACTAAAGAGCTTCCCAAAGTGGAGGGAAAGGCCATAGAGAGAATCCAGGTGTTATTCAGAGTCAGTCCTTGCTGAAATGTGGTCTTCCAGTGGAAGCACCTGTATTCTTGGGAGGAAAAAGTGTTGGATGCAAAGTAACACCAGGACCAGAGAGAAAGAGGAAGGTGAACTATCCTAAGGAGCTTTGGATACTTTTTTAGAAGGATAAATATTGTGCTTACTGAGGAGAAAAAAAAAAAACCAATCACAGAAAAATTTCACAGCTAATATTTTTACAAAAGTTGTGCCGGACATTACAAAACGTCTCTCAAGGTGGAATGCTTTAGAGAACAAAGGCTTAGCACAGGCCCAGACCCTTGTGTGGGTATGACATGATGTGACATGTACATGTCAAAATTCGCTTTAGTATAGTCAGAACCAGAGTATTGATAACCAAAATGTTAGTTACCTGGAGCAGTCCTGGAGAGGCTAAGACATCCTATACTGTTGTACATCAACCATTTCTACAAAGTTATCCAGACAGCTAAAAGCAGCTTTCTTGGTTATCCAGATCCAGTTTCTTGGTTATGCCAGAATCAGCCTTGTATCTGACAATGCACATCTGTTGATTCTAAAGTATATTTGTGTGTGTGTATATACAGCACATATTTACATCTATGAAGACACAGACACTCATAGAGACCCACATGAGCTGGCACTTGCTGAGCCTTTACAGCCTTTAAGACTTGGAGGTTGAGAATTAGAGACAGAAGAGAGGCTGCTGATGGCCTATTAAAATGATCAAAGATGTAAATTCAGTGCCATTTAAAAACTGTTCATACTTATCAAATGATTATCTACAGCTACATTCTTTGTTAACTTATTTAAAGTCATGTTGCAAAAAAGGTCAAACCCATGAATGCTTAGTAGCTAAGGCTAGTGTTCAGAAGCACTCTAAAAGACATTTTGTCCACATTTTGGAAAAGAAAATATTTGCATGTTTAATCATAATTTAGACTACCTTTGAGTATACTGTAAAGTGCTGTGTGATATAATATCAATAAAGTACTTATTAAATGGCACTTTAATCTTTTCTTTTAAAATAACGCACTGTTCTAAACTTCAGTATTGACTATTGACTGGTGCATAGAATCCAATGCTGTAATTAGAAAGTAATCTGTGACTAGAATAGACCTTTGTCCCTGTTAGTAGCCCTGTTGCCATGTTCAGGCTTTTAAAAAATGTGCTTTTGTGTCACAAAATACATCTATAAAGAAAATACAATTTCTGTTCAGAGCCTCTGAAACTTGGCTTTCTTACATTTGGTTGGTTTATGTGACAATCCCTATGAAATGAGTGGACGTGTGATTTTTGAATTAAATGTCTTTTCCATTTGGTGGTATTTTCTTGAGTTTCTGATAGAGTTTGACTCAATACATACTTCAATATGTCTTCAAATAAGCATATATAGATGATGATCAAAGGTCGCGAGTCTTGGCTCCTGCAGTTTTTGGTGACAACCACAGTGCTGATTTCTGATGAGCTCTGAGAAGCTTTGCTTTCCATTTAGGAAGAGGTCAGATGCTAGGAAACTTGAGAATTTGCTCATCAGGCATATTAAACAATTGAGCCGGAAGAGTCACAGTCCACTTCACATTTCTAACTTTCTTCCATTAGAATACATATTGTTTTATTCTTCCTAAATTTGACTTTCTAATCACCTGTTTTCTGGAACCTCATGAACGCAAGGATGGAATCATCAGAGCCAGAACACAGGCAATGCCCTCGGCACAGCTG